GCAAAGTTTATGAAAAGCGATTGCGGCAGTGTTAGTGTCGTTAATGAAAGAGTTGGAAATCACAAACCAATCCCTTAGTAAATAAACATGCAATAAAGATCAATAAAAAAAATGAACTCGTGGATAAAAGTAATGCAAATAAAAAAATTATTATATTTAATTAATTTCTTTTTTGAATATAAAATAATTATTAAAATTTAATATTATTTTATTTACTCGATTTAATGAAATTAAATTAAAAGAATTGATAAAATTGTATAAACAAGTTTCAATTCTTAATCAATTAAGTTTTGTGAACAAAATACCTCGGAAAAAAAAATTAAAATCTACTACTACAATGAGCAAAAAGCTTGAAAAGAGACATTAGGAATGAAAAAAATTCCAACTAAAAAAGCAATGAGTCTCTAGCATACAAACGAACAATTAATTTGCCAACGTTTCGCCAATCCAGGCATTACCAGGGCAGAAAAACACGGTCACATATGCAAAAAAAAAATAAAACAGAAAAAACTTTTGACTTCTCATCAGGACACCCAAAGACATATTGAAGGAAACAGGAGAGAAAGGTTATATAGAACAGCTGATTATTAGGGATACAGGACAAAAAAATTGCATACATGTGATGGTTCCTGAATTGGCGAAACGTTGGCGATTTACTGTTGTATGTCAGAGATTCATGGCTTTATTAGTTAGAATTGTTTTAAAATCTAATTTTTATTAGAGTTTTTAAAGATTGAGGTAATGTTGCCATACATAAAAAAAGAAAGTTTTTCTCTTTAATAAAATAATTAATTTAGGATATTATGGTCAATCCACAGCTCATGAAACAGAATAATGATCTGCCACAGCTGGACTCAAATGTATACTCTTGAGAGCACTATTATATAAGGTTACCATTCATAGAGAAACCAAGCTCCATGGAATAAGTTTAAATTTTCTAATTTTCTTTTAATTAAATGATTTGTTGTTCTGTGGAGGATATATCAATGTAATGATTGGTATTATATAAATAAAAAATAATTAGGTAATTATGCAAAACTTTTTTCCAGTAGTTCAAAAAAAAAAATCTGTAAAGTTTCGATAAATCATTGCAAATTTATGGCCATACAGTTATTATTTATTTTAAAATATAAATAAGTAAAAAGCTTGAATTAAATATATTTCTAGCTATAAAAACTTTTATTTGAAATAACTAGAAAAAACATAGACTCAACTGATTATATTAATTACATTTTGGTACAGTCAAAACTGAACAATCTACTCTTGTTACTTAAAAAAAAAAACTTACTAACAGAAATAAATCGCTTTTTTTCGTTAGCATCTACATAAGTCAAACTTATTCATTTAAAATAATAATTTATAACTTTTAAAACAAAGTAGTATTGTCACATGGATTTAATTGAAGATAGAGACAAATTTAAATTTGTTCTTTGATGTCTAAAACAGGAGTCTCCAAACTATGGTCTGCACGGGGAACTCCCCAAACTATGGCCCGTGAGCTTTGGTTACATAGTAAAATTTTAAAAACTATTAAAAAATATAAAATTTAGTAAATTAATCACAAAAGAGATTACTAAAATATTTATTACATGTTTTTTTTTTTTTCTCTTAGAGAGCTCATTTCGTAACTGAAGAGTCATTTATAGAACAAGGTTTTTTTTTTTTTCTTAACACAGACCATGGCCCGCAGGACTTAGGTGGAGGTTTCAATGCAATCCGCGGAATTTAGTGGTGGTCTTAGTGAAAGTTTAAAAGTTTGTAGACCCATAATCTAAAATATAAAAAGAGAATGGAAATTTTGGATTATGGACACAATTATTTTTTTGCAAGACATAAAAGCATACATTAATTAATTAAAGTATAGATAAAAAAATTTACTGAGTAATTTAATAATATTCTGAGTTGAAAGAACACTAATTTGAACATAACAAGCATGGCTTATAACTGCAATTCGGTAGACATTTATTTGCCTTATTTATAAGGTCTCAATAACTAAAAACAAAAAAAAAAAAAAAAAAATAGTGAACTCATTACATTGGATTAAAAAAAATAGATAGCTCCAAGTCAAAATTATTTTAATTTATCAAGTTTTGACTGTAATTAATAGAAATCAGCATGAAAAAACAAGCTGAAGCATCTTATGACATTTTTTTTTTTTCAAAAATGATGCATTAATATAATTTTATTAGGCCAATATCATGCAATGATTAAAAATTAAAACTTTAAAGAAAAAATTCTATAAATGTTAGCGTTATTCAAATACTACTATAATACCCGAATTATTATACAATTTGATTTGATTTTTTTTTTTTTTTTTTGTAAACAATATTTTATTTTAAATAAATGTTTTAGAGCATTTTTCCATCTTGAAATACAGAATATAGGTTTAAAATATAGAAATATAAATTACATAAATTACGTTTATCTTTCCAGACAAAATAAGAATAAGCAGAAGATAAACAGAGTACAACATAATTTAGTCAGAGTTACTGGGAAATAATCAATATGAAATAACGGTGAAAGAAAAGATTTCCAAACTAAGACTATAGTGGAAAAGTTCATGTTACAGTGCAATATCAGTTCAACAGTTCGAAGCAACAGGGGTTATACCAATTCACAGCTACTCATGTATGGAAGGTTCTAAGCAAAGTTCCTAGCATATAGGAAAAATATCAATCTTCTATCCTAGTTGCGTAGTACTGGAAACCGCTGAACACATGATCACAGCTTCCACCATTTGTAAGACGCTCATGTAAAAACTGACGAGGAAGATTCCTCTCAATGTTCTAACAGAGAATGAATTTCTTCACCTCGTAACTAATGAAAACTATCCATATTTAATGCATGGATTTTATAAATGAGTAAAAGAATATGCATTCCACTTCTTTTTGGGAAGAATTGAAGGACGTGTATCAAGGAGGCTGCTGGATAGAGGAGAAGAAGAAGACTGAGGTAAATTAGGGGGATGAAATGTGTAGGCTGTGTTTACTACTCAAGAAGAAATTGTAAATGGTTTACTTGCAGTAGAAGTACTTCTGTCTCAATTGTCTGGGATCAGTGGTCAATGAGCCATTAGCTGAAGAGGAAGAGAAACAAAATTAAATAAAAGGACCTGATAAAATAAAGTATATTGGGACTTATGAAGTTCCTCAGAAATGAGCTGCTAGATCATTAGTAAGATAGATTTTAATAAATCATTGAAGGAAGCTAGTCGACTGTTCTACGTATCATGGGTGATAAATAGTCAGGACGCAGTTATTATACAATTTTTTTTTTTTTATATTTGTGCCAACGTTTCAACCCAAACATGTGGGTCATCTTCAAGGGGTGGTTCGAGCAATGAAGGCTTTCAATAACTCACTTAAAAGTTACGAATACTTGAAAGCATTCAGTGCCTGAACCACTTTCTGAAGATGCCCCACATGTTTGGGTTGAAACGTTAGCACAAATAAAAAAAAAATTTGTATAATGACTGCGTCCTGACTATTTATCACCCATGATTTTAATAAATCCATAACACAAGCCATTCTAGCCTATGCAATTCGGACTATGATACCTTATGTTCAACTGAAAAACAAATATTAGGTTTAAGATGATGCAATATGAGAGAAGAGAGCATATCCTCTGAGGAGAAACACCATAAATAGAATGAAATACATTTATTAGTGTATTTTGTTTTCATTGACCAAACCATTACACCTTTGACTTTTTTTCTGAAAGGTATAAAATCACAATCATTATAATATGAAATAGATATTTTTTATATAATTTTAAACCAATATTCTCTACTTCAAACTGGATTAAATAATCCAAAATGATTACTAAAATAATAATGATTGATAATTATAGTAGTATATGAATAATTCTCAAGTTATGTCATTAATTTAATGTTTTATTTTTATGATTTCCATACAAAAGTAACAACCGTGATAATGTGTTTGTGATACAGGCAGAATAACTCTCAAACATCACAACAGGACCGACTTGTAGACCAAAACAGCGGATACCTATTTGAAGTATTTCCAACTGTGCAACAATACCATTATAATAACCGTGCAATAATCCTAATTTTTGTTTTTTTCGATAGCTGCTATCTCTGGTACCACCTACCTTTGATTGTATGAGACGGTGAGGTTTGTAAACAATTAGTGACATTATCTAGAACAAATGAACTTCTATAAACTACAAATAACCACACTATACCTAACATAACTAACATAAATACTAAATGGGTTACATCTAAACAATAAAACTATTCAGTAACTAAATAAAAAAATGAGTCACACAAAAAAAAATTAATAAAAAATAGATGTACCTGATTCTCAACTAAATAAATTTTCACATGATTAATTTTAGGTAATCATTTATTTAAGGTTAAGTAGAACCACAAAATGTCTGTCAAACAATCAGTTACTATTCAGACAAACTTTACCAATTTTAAAATATGCAGAGAAAATTAAGATTAAGCTAAAGATTTTGCTTCAGGGACACTTCTAGGATCCGTATTGAACACTGAATGCTGTAGAAATATGTAAATATACATATAATTTTCAGTTCTGCAATCAATCTATATTTTGCATGCATAATTATATCACTATAATCATACAACATAAAAAGTTAACTTGTAATGATTTTCTTTAATATTTTTGTTGTGGTAGTGGAATGAATAAGCATTTTTTCTTCATACTTCAGGTTGAGTAGCAGTTGACATTGCATAAAAATATAAATAGAATTACTGAATATTCTGATTCTAACAGTGACAATGAAAAAAAAAAAAGGTCCCTTTTTAAATAAATAAAACTTCTAAAATTGATAACTAAACAAACCAATAAGCAAGGAAATTAAGTGTATAAGTTATTCTAATGAACAATATTCTTTTTTACTTTACAGGCCTTGTAAATATTTGGCTGCCTGAACCAACTTCCTCCGTCTACTTTGGGAGCTAGTGTTTTCCAGTTAGCTATACGCAGCTCTGCAATATCATTGTCGATTCTATCTTTTTAGTCTTCTACTTCTTGGCCTTCTTTTAGCGAATATTTGTGGTAATTATTATAGTGTAGAGGCTCCTTGATGGATTCCTGCATGTTCCTCCCAGATTGACCAGTTTCTATAAGCTGGATGACTTTTTCCTCCATGAATTGGTAATCTGATCCCAAATTTCTAGAGATATTTCAAGATTTCAGTATTTTTGAAAAAATAGTATAAGCAATTGCGGAACAGAACTGTTCCAAGTTAACACTAAATCTAGTGTCTCCTAATATTGAGCCACAGCAAGGACCAGTAAGTCCAAGGGTTCGAATTTATTTTTCAGTTCAATTTGGAATTCAGCCTGTTTTTAAGGATATTTCAAATTATGAAGATTTAGTATCTCTTTTCTTTCACTTGATCCCCTATTTCATGAATTTGCTTCAGCTTCAGACAGAGTTTAATTCTAATCAGAGTGTAATATAATTAGATAGCTTCAGTATACTGCACGATAGCTTCTCACGTCTTGTATGGAGCTTAGATGCTTCTTGTATATCAGCATGTGGTATGACTAGATGATTTAGCAGTATGACTAAACTGTTTTTTTTTTACAAATCTTGAAAGCACTAAACTAAAAATATAATATTTTACTAAAATCTAAGGTAAAATAATAAGGTAGAAAAGAAAGTATCATCACCAGATGGTAAAGATATAATAAAAATAATAATAATACCTCCAGTTTTAAGATCGACAGAGTAGACAGAGGCATCGTCTGCCCTTGGCGAGTCCCCTTCTTCGTGGCTGAGGGAGACCGTCTGCTTCTGCTTGCGGCTTCCGGAACCAGCTATCAGTCGCCCGAGGGCAGCATCAGCTGTGCAACAAAACCTCCCGCTTAACAGTCGCCTCCTCCAATCGGCTAGGGGCATCCAATTGTCTATCCTAATCTTTTTTGAAATTTCTTTTCTTTTTTTTTGTTTAATCAAAACCCAAAATTATTTTGCCACCTTTTTGATTTTTGTAAATAAATAAAAAACCCTATGCTAAGAAAATAAATAATTTCAATAACACATATTGATATACTATTTTTTTTTAATCCATATATTTTCTTATTTATTAGTACATTAACATTTAATGAAAAATAATTTTGACTAAAGAATTAAATTCATAAAAAAATATAAATGTTATAATTAACATGTACAATGTGAAAGGGCTTGAAATCATAAATTAACTTTTATTTTTAATCTGTTTCAGTTCACCAGAAACTTGTTTTTGTGTTATTTCAAAACCAGAACTTTTTCTCATGAAAATTTTAAATGACGGTTTTTCTAAAATGTTATTTTTAAAGTTTTACAGGAAAGTTCTGTTAAAGTAATTAATTTCACCAAAAAACAAATCTAAAAAATAGTGATTCGCATTAGAAATTAATACGAGTATCAAGCAATGCAGTCAAGATATTTATATCTGCGATCTAAATCCAATAACTCCTTATTTCCCATTTAACATAACTATTTTTAAGTACTTAAATAAATAAAAGTTAAAGTTTTACAATAAACCCAGAACTTTAATATCAAATAAGTTCTTAAGGACTTTTATTTAAAATTATTTTTTTACAAAATAGTTCCATTGAGACTGTTAAAATGGAACTTAGAAAAGTTCCATAGAAGTTTCAACTTCTAGACTGTAAGAAAGGAAAAACAAAATTTTCAAGTATTACCTAATGGTCTATTATATCCAAATAAATAAGTAAAAAAAATAAATGGAATTAAAATTATCTGAAATATCAGATGGTAATTTTGAGTTCTGGGGACCACGCTGAAGTGATCTGTAATTTTAGTGCCGTCTCAAAACATTAGTTGAGAAGTATTGGATAAACCTATTTAAAAGACACATTTACCTAATAAAACAAATGATTATAAAAGTATATGATGAAATCTCAAGATTTCTACTAAATAATAAGAAATTCGAGTTAAAATTGTATCTAATCCGTTACTCTGTTAAAAAAAAAAAATCATTCTCAACAAAGAAAAATTTCTGAACAGCTTTTAAAAAATATATAAATAACTTCCTAATAATAAAAAAAAATAAATAAAATGAAAAAAAAAATGAATAAAATAAAATTGTTAAAAAAATTATTTACTATTTTATGTTTTTGACCACACCCCCCCCCTCCTCAATCAATAATTTAATTCTTTAAATTAAAAAGAAAATAGAAATACGAGAGAAGTTTTTAGTTGAACTGTTGTTAGAGACAAATAACACAAAATATAAGTAAAAAGTCCATTCATTATTATTAATACAAACTTAGTGATAAAAGAAATGTTTGAATTAAGTAGCTTAATATATTACTATTATCGAATACTATAAATGTTATTAAATAAATAAAATATATGTTTTGGTTATACTTAATATAGGTTAAAAAAACAACAACAATAAAAATGGTGGCACAATAATTTTGAAGTATGATTGTATTAATCTCTTCTTTGTGAGAAGGTTGCATTTTATTTTGAAATTGTAGTGCAAAAAGCAGAACACTGTGCAAGTGCTTTAGTGATGGAGCCCCAAGCCAAATATAATTAGAGAAATAATATAATTTATTAAGTAAATAGTTAAAAAAATTCAAATTTGAGAAAAATATTATAATTGGATTATTTTTGGAAAATTCTAAAACAAAGATTTCAAGTCTCTTAAGTCAAAGTCAAATATAAACTTGTAAACATTTCACTGGATATTATTAAACACAAATATCATTAAAAAAAGATTGATTTTGGAGAGTTGTGAAGTGTTTTGAATTTCCCAAAAGTAACTTTATAATTATGAGAAAAAATAGTAAATATTTATGAAATATAGTAACTATGGAAACTCCGGAACCAGAAAACATATTGATCTTGCAACGAAGTGATGATGTAAAAAAGTTCAGAAAATGAATGGTATGTAGAATGCATGGAGAACAGGGAAGCATATGACTTTAGGAATTGTCTTGGTGAGCCAAAGCAGGAAAATATACTAAAAGTTCCCACCTATAGCCCTGCCGCTTCATGTTAGGGGAATACAGGGGACCGGGTGACCAAACGGGTTAACGTTAGTAATCTTCTTATTTTTCTTTTTTTATTAGGAAGCTTACGTTTATAATTTTTTCATATTTTAGGCAATAAAACTTCCAATTTTCTTCATATTTTTTTTATTTATGCTTGTTGTCTCTTACGTTTCGGGACGATTTTCCCATCATCAGAATAATATTTTTATTTTTACATCCTTTTTTTTTGATGTGACACCATTTGTCAAAAATTAAATATTTGTCACATTTTTTTAAAATTATTTGGTGGTATTGGTGTAATCAACATCTTGATGTTGATTAGTGTATCAATGAATATGTGTAACACCAAATAATTTTTAAAAAATGTGACAAATATTTAATTTTTGACAAATGGTGCCACATCAAAAAAAAAAAAAAGAATGTAAAAATAAAAATATTACTCTGATGATGGGAAAATTGTCCCGAAACATAAGAGACGACAAGCATAAATAAAAAAATATGAAGAAAATTGGAAGTTTTATAGCCTAAAATATGAAAAATAAAATAAAAGGTTAACGTTTGTATAAAATATGCGTTGTTCGGTAATCTGATATTCCTCCATAATTCCTCCACCCCCTCTCCTGGCCTTGCATGCACATATACTTGCATCATGGTAAATAGAGGCATATCCATTTAATACATTTTACCACTGTTATTTTCACAGGTTAAATTCATTTTATTGTTGTAAGGTTAGCTAAATGGGATCATGTCTTAATATCAAGAAAGAAGATGACTGATCCGTTACTTCATAAGTACATAAAAATAAAGTGTGTCTATTAAATGAAGAGACTGATGCGAAGACAGAATACATTTTATTTTGATTTCATACATATTCACTTATTATCACCTCTAATATACACCCCTCCTTTTATCCATACAACACTCCATGTTCGAAACAGTGTTGGAAGTCTTCTTCTGTCAGTTCCTTCAGGACGCACGAGCCGCTTTATCTTTCACAGCTTCAAGAGATTCAAATCTTATTCCTTTTAATAACCATTGACAAATCATAGTTGTTTATTTATGATCCTGAAAGGAAGAACCTATCCATGTACTGGAAGATCCCAAGTTCACCGAGAGCCAAAGAAGCTCAAATGAATCAAAATTCAAAGCAATGATTTTTTTTATGTTCATGGAATTGTACACTTTCGCTGTGTTCCTGAGGATCAAATGATTAATCAAAATTACTTTATTGGCATTCTTGCTGAAAGAGAAAGTGATAGGCATCCTGAAGGAGCTGACAGAAGAAGACTTCCAGCACAGTTTCAGAAAATGGAATAATCAAATGGAAATTGAAGAGATAGAGGGGTATATAATAAAAGTGATAAGTAATAAAATTATAAGTAAATGTGTATGAAATCAATTCAGTAAGTTAAACATTGGCTCTACTCCCCTCTGTGAGTGCGGAGAACAGAATGTGGAACACATACTACAAACATGCAGGGTCTACTCCCAGCAAAGGAGGTTGATCTGGCCCTCTCCAACTGCAGTGAAAAGCCAGGAGAACCTAAGGAGAACTACCGAATTCTTTATTTTAGTTCCAGACGTAGCCATATAAGAAAGAATGCAGAAGAAGAAGAACAAATTAAAATATTTTACGGCATCAAAATTGTTATTTAATAGCCACATCTCTTATATGTTATGTTATGAGTGTCTCTGAGACAATCGGAGCCAACTGCGCTCTACCTTTTATCAGAGAATAAGTTCTCCCAGCTCATTAATAAAGAAAATTATAACTATTTCAAGGAATTTATAAACGGGTGGAAGAATATTGTTTACCCAGACCATTTCTACTAGGGATGGAAAAAAGAAGTGCGCCAGGGAAGGATGCCGGAATTAAGGGATAGACAGCAAAGCACAAGATTTAATTGTAAATAGATTACTCTGCAGCAGTGAATTTTTACTTAGCATGAGAAACACTCCACTGATGCAAGCACTTGTATTGCCTAATAGGGAGGGAAGTGGGGGGGCCATAAAAATAAAATAATAATAAATCTCTCTCTTTTATATATATATATATATATATATATATATATATATATATATATATATTATATATATATATATATATTATATATATATATATATATATATTATATATATATATATATATTATATATATATATATATATATATATATTATATATATATATATATATATATTATATATATATATATATATATTATATATATATATATATTATATATATATAATATATATTATTATTTTATTTTTATGGCCCCCCCACTTCCCTCCCTATTAGGAAATACAAGTGCTTGCATCAGTGGAGTGTTTCTCATGCTAATTAAAAATTCACTGCTGCAGAGTAATCTATTTACAATTAAATCTTGTGCTTTGCTGTCTATCCCTTAATATATATATATATATATATATATATATATATATATATATATATATATATATATATATATATATATATATATATTTTTTTTTTTTTTTTATTTATATATATATATATTTTTTTTTTTTATTTATATATATATATATTTTTATTTATTATATATTTTTTTTTTGGTTGGCTCAACAGATCTTGTAGATCTTTGGCCGCCTTAACCAGCCTTCTCCACCTCTGCCTATCTTGGGCTACTGCTTTCCAGTTTGCTGCATGAAGCTCAGCCGTATCTTTGTTTATCTTATCTATCCATCTGGTTTTTGGCCTCCCACGTGGTCTCTTGCCTACTACTCTGGGATTCATTGTCGTGTAGAGGCGTCCTGATGGATTACTACGAGCTACATGCCCTGCCCATCTTAACCTCCTTGCCTTCATGTCATGAGATATTGACTGACCCGTTTCTTTCAACAGTTCTTAATTGTTCCTTCTCCTCCATGTGTCAAGGATCTGGTCCCATATGGGCCCTGTTATCCTACGTAGTACTTTTCTTTCGAATCTCTCAATTCTGGCTTCTAATGCGCCGGTTAGAGCCCAGGTTTCACAACCGTACAGTAGAACTGGCTTAATCATGGCGTTGTATTATTTTGAGATTTCTGGAGATTTTTCTGGATTTCAGTACCTTTGAAAGAGAGAAGAAAGATTTGTTCGCACTTGTTATTCGCTGGTATATCTCTGTTTGTTGATCATTTATTGAGGTTATTGTGGAGCCGAGGTATTTGAATCTGTCTACTTTTGGGAATGACTTAGAATCCACGCAGATCATGTTATTAGGGTGGATGTTTTAGCTAACTATCATGTATTTATCTCTTATTTATTTCTTTTTTAAGCCTTCAAAAAAGAAAATTAATTACAGAATAGAGGGAGGTTATGTTCAAACTGTCCTTAAACACTAATCAACAATAACTAAAGGGATGGCATGGTAATAGTCTACTTAAAGGTAGTTTTTTAAAATTAAATTATTTTAATATAATCCAGAAAAAAAAACTTTCTAAATATCCTTTAGGGTTCTCACAATTTAAATAGTACTAAGCTGTCAGCTCCAAGCGGTATATTACTTATAATCACACAAATAAAAAAAAAAGAAACTCACCAGACTTCCTCTGGTTCTGGTTGGCCGAATGTACCCTCCTGTCGCTTTGGCTCCGAGCCGAAACCATAACAGCGTCTCCCTCGAAGTCGACTCCTTTTTCCCTTTCCCGTTCCGTCTGTTGGACAGCCTGAGGCGTACCGGGCATAGAAACGGCACGTCTTGTCTTTTTGGGCGAACCCGCTGGATACCAGAAACAAATTAAAATGGTGGCGAATTGGCTGACTGAAGAATCATATAGTAAGAGAAGTTGGTCGGGGGTTCCATTCAATGAAATAAACAAAAAACTATTTATGGGTGATAAATAATCAGGACGCAGTCTTTTTTGAAATTTTTATTTTTGCCAACGTTTCAACCCAAACATGTGGGTCATCTTCAGGGCTGAAAATGTTTTTTTTTTTTAATTACAATCAGAGATATAATAGTATACGACCGCTAATTATAAATAATAAACTATAGTGATTGATGGCACATGAATCTCAACTAATATTGTAATACACATATTAAAATAGTTATACAAACTGTTTGTATAACTATTTTAATATGTGTATTACAATATTAGTTAAGATTCATGTGCCATCAATCACTATAGTTTATTATTTATAATTAGCGGTCGTATACTATTATATCTCTGATTGTAATTTAAAAAAAACATTTTCAGCCCTGAAGATGACCCACATGTTTGGGTTGAAACGTTGGCAAAAATAAAAAAATTAAAAAAGACTGCGTCCTGAATATTTATCACCCATGATATGTAGAACAGTCGACTAACTTCCTTCAAGTATTTATTTTGTAGTAGATAAGATATTACTTTTCATATTATTTGTATCTTTTTATTTCTTATAAGTTTTCTTTCTCTTTCTTATTATCATAATGTTGTTATCTAGTCTTTGTTAGCCCTGAAGAATGTCTAAAACTTCGGCCGAAGGAAAAACGAAAATAAAATAAAAAATTATTTGTACATTTCACTGACTGCAGCCTTCAACCAACTTCTCTTAAAATACAAATTAAAATAAAATTTTATTTTTATAATAAAAAAGAAATACTCCAGCTTTTAAGCTTATTTTTATTGTTCTGTTTTGGTTTATTATTTTAAATAATAAACCTTTGCAATAGACCAGGAATAAGGAAAAAGTCAACCTCCCTCAAAACTAGAAGAAATATGTGTTAAGGTACGCATAATCCGAAAAACAAAAAATGAAATCCGTCCGTCTGCCATTCATGACTTTTCTCCAAGACTACTAGACCAATTGTTTGATATTTGGAATCAATGTCAGTGGTCACCCAAGAATTATCCTCAGAACTCGATAATACCGTCTAATCTTTCGTTTCAAAACGTTGGCTGAAAAACTTGTGTGGCTACTGACTGTAGCATCAAAATATATGTAATGATTTTAATTAAAAATGTATAAAATCTTTTCTTTGAAGCCATTTAAATTTATGAATATAAAATACTTCTCAAAAAATAAGCCTGAAAAAAAAGTTATGATGAAATCAGAATTTCATTTCCAAATAATTAAAAAAGTTTAAGTATATACTTTTTGGTGAATTATGTGTATGTTTTTTTGAAAGTTGAAAAATCATAAATCATAGATGATTTATTGCATTTTAAATGTTTATATTTGTTGTGCGTAGACAACAAGATACTTTTGGATCTACGCTTCTTTAGATTCTTGGCATGAATAACAACTAATATTTAAAAATGGCGAATATGTAACATTCACTTTTGATTGTCCCTCTTATAAATCCCCTGATGATGAGAATAACATCACTTTGTAGAAAGTCTTATTAAATATGCTCCTCTGAAAATAGTGAATAATTGGATAGGCCATTTTCCAAGATCACAGACAATAAAAAAAACAACAAAAAAACAAAGATTTTGAAACATTAAATCAAGAAGTTCAAACAACTAATAGGCTTCCATAACAAAACAGCCTAACTATTTTAAAAATAGCTGAAAAAAAAAACTAATAAATACAGAAATTATTTATCTCAACGATAATCTGAAAGAGAAAGATAAAAAAAACAAAAAAAACATAAGTTTGCTAAAATATAAATAGAATAATGAAATGAGGGGTCAAGGAATTTATTTACGATGCCATAGTCAGCCTTGGGGATATAGGAACGCAGCCAAAGTGAATTGGGCCAATAAAAAACTTATTGTTATTAAAAGTAACAACAATTTAATAATTAAAAATATAACTTGGACACAGAATGAAAACAAAACAAAAAATTAAAAAATTATTTCCAGCCATAATGTTGAGGAATATGTAAAAATAACGCTAATGCCACCACAATACAATTTTACAGTAATTGCATATTGTAAGGAATTTTGAACACAGTTATTTGCATTTTCATGGCAAATATATCTATATACTGAACTATTTAATGAATTGCGAATCGTCAGATGTTTAAACTTCTGGACAGGGCCAGACCATTATCTCAAATCTAATAGCTCAAAAAACCGGCAACAATTCTGAAATATCTAGATCTTTTGAATAACTTTCTCTAATTTATAAATTTTGACGTATAAAATTATTATAATATTAAATTTAATGAATTATTATTATTAACCAAAAATTAATAAATTTTTAGTAAATAATAGTAAAATCACTACAATATATATTAAATTACCTATGGCAGGTGTTGCATCAGCAGGAGTTGTCGCGTTACAATTTCTATCGATGGCAATGTGATGTTTCTCCCTGTTCGTAACAGGCATGATCCCTCTTCGTCCCTTACCACCAACATCATAATCTCCAACAGTCTAAAAAAAAATATTATTTTTAAAAATATAGTTATTGTGGGTTTGAGAAATTAGAGTGTTTTTTTTTCCATTGGCATAAGGCACTGCAACACTTAATCAATGGTACGTCATGTATTAGTCAGCTTTACTACTAAAACAATAATTTAGTAGCTCCCACATATTTTAATAGGCTTGCAGGATTAATGAACTCACAGCTTTTGGAATTGTCCACTCCGCCCTCCCCAAATAGCTCAAGTCTAAGCCTTGAAAACCTGTCACATCGACAAACGATGTAAAAGACTGTTTCATTCTCCTCATGATAGAATCTACATAGATTATTCCTAGTCACTCAGAGATTGAACATATGATAATTTAATCTACAGTGACCAGTACAGACCAGCTAGTCTGTCCCTAGTCACGAGGCCCTTTAAGGAATAGCTTCAAGCGCTGCTGTTACTTTTCAGTATTGTTTAAATTTGTTTACCATACAGCTCCTTGATCCATCTTTTGGCAGTGCTAAGACTGATTCCACAGACAGGTTCAGGAGTTATGGGAGTTGAATCTGAGCCCAACTTGGCCATTTTATCAGCCTCTTCGTTGCCTAAAATGCCCGAGTGACCAGGAACCCACTCAATTGTAACAACCCTGTTAACAACTGTATTGCAATCTTTAAAAACCTTTAAATATGTATACTAATTATTTAGAGCACTTATTGCTACCTGACTATCAGCGTAGATTATTATCGTTTTTCCAGATATTCGGCCAAGCAATAGATTTTGAGCACAAATTGCTAGTACTTCAGATTGAAATACTGAAACATATTTTCCTAGGGAAATTGAAAATTTGTCAATATTATTTGTGCGATAGATGCCAGTTCCTGTAAGAGTCAGAGAGAAATACTTTATTTAAAGCAGTGCTGCTCTACTGTATAGGGTTGCTCGATACATAGCATAATCATCAATCCTTTTTTTTTCTTGGACATAGCACTTAATTATTACAGGTATAATAATACAATTTATACCATTTTTTGGTTTATGTTATCTGCTAATATCAAATGTCAACACCATATTTGATGTCTAGATATTGTCGGATTTGTATGTTAAGAGTGCATGGCTAGCACCTCATCACACTCAATCCAATTCAGCAGTTTCGTATGTCGCTCTAGTACAATGATATAAGAGCAGCTTTTAAGATTCCTCAGCCTATATAAAGCCTGTAAATTAGGGGTTCCTCATCATAAAAAATATATCTTTACTTTCTTGTCTATCAAAAAGCCTCAATAGGCTGTAGAAAATGCTGCTCGTTTCTTCTTCTTTGGCTTAGGAAAACATTGCCCTGGTTGGCCCATATCTTGTTATTTTGACATGTTGGAGATGGAGGTCATGGCCAACTGCCCAATATTTTTTTAGGCCACCTATTTTCTCGATTTTGTGACCAAATTATCAAATGATTCATGTGGAAAGCAAAGGGGTGTTTATGAGTTTTTAGTACCTCATTAAATTAGAGAACACAATGCTTGAGCCCGTTTGGACATGGGTTTGGTGTATACAACCAGAGTGTCTGGTTCTGAACATTGTGGGTTCAATTCCCAATTGGGTTGATTAATATTTACTTTTTGGTGGCTCTGGGAAATGAACCTTGATACTACCACTCTGGTAAGTACGCGGCAGCAACCTCAAGCAGCCATCAAGGATTGGTCGTTAAGACCCACTTGCCAGTTTCCCACACCAGTACCAGTACCTCATTAAATTGACAAGTTTTATCAATCTCCAGATTAAAAATGCCCCATTTATGAGAATTTTCATAAATAAAAAAGTTGTAGATTGTGATAAAATGAAGCCATCGGCAAAGTTTTATACGAGTGTTAATAATTCTATAAAAAGTGGTTTGTATTGTAAACAATGAGTAATATACCCGCATTATTTTCAATATAACCACAAATCACTCTTCCCACATACTTAGTAATATTTTTACAAAAATTTCTTTTGATACAACTAACTGGCAGCTCATTTTGATTAAGAAAGCTGTGTAGAGATTTATCAATCATTTGAGGATTTCATTAGTTTTTGCATTTCACACTTAATATTTCTATATTGTTTTTTGTCCATTTTAAGAGACTCAGAAATCATTATCGAATTAAAAGTAAAATTTTGGGGACATAAATAATTAGTCATAACACTAATTCTATAGTGTTATAGAAGTCTATGAAAGAGACAATATCAACTGAATCAGTTTGATATTAGTGTAAACAGGTGCGTAAATAGTTTATAAAAGTACATAAAGGGGGAGTATTAGCGACAGTCGGTTTTCGAGGTTGATATTATACATCTAATGAAGACTTTGTTAGTCCAGATATATGGTTAGTTAAGATGGAACAGAAAAAAAAAATTTTAATTTAGTAAATTATAGATTTAAATTAATGAGTAGAAAAAAAAAAACTAAAATAAGTTTTAACAGGCACCTATAATATCGTACTGCACAACATTTTCAGCAAATCAAAAACAATTTTTTTATTCTCATTTATAATTGAACAAAAGACCTGCTCAGAGTTTAATATTTATTTTGTATTTAAAATTCTTAAGGAAATTGATAAAATATTTAACAACAAAATCTATTTAATAGAATAAAACCATTTGGAACTTTGAAAACTGTTAAAAAATCCAAATAAGACCAATATTAAGAAAAAAAATGTCTTAATTTCTTCAGAACTAACCTCTGTTTCCTTTCTATTATCGGGCTCGATGTTCTCCTGATCGTTGTCCAAATTGGTCGTATGGTTTTCGGTAGCAGTGATGATCGGGGCAACAGCCGGGGAGGTAGCGGTCGGCAGAGACGTAAGCCCGGGAGGTGGTACAGTCGGAAGCTTTTCCCAGTCGTAAGGGTCAGTTTCCCGAACACCCCTCCTCTTCATACAGCGCTCGAATAGGCCGATCAACATCCCATAGTCGGGTTTGTCATTATATTCAAGCCCCTATAAAGAAAGAAATATTAAGAGATTTATTAATAATTTAAAAAAAAATTACTAAATGCTAAATTTGATTCAAAGTATACACAATTATAGTCAGTGATACAGACCTCTTTTTATCAAATTATTAATATCCGCCTAGAATTCCATGAATAGCTTCATCTTATCGTAACCTACAACTTTATTACTTATGAATATTCTTGGAATTGGGAAGTTTAAAATCTAGAAATCGGTAAACTTTGTCTATTGAATTAGGAACACTCATAAACACCCATTTGCATTCCACTTGAATCTTAAGATAATTTGATCATAAAATTGAGAAAAAAGGCGGATTATAAAAATATTGGGCCGTTTGGCGAGATCTACACCCCCAACATGTCAAAATAATGAGGTTATATAAGACAGACAGTTCAATATTTTTATAGGGCAATTTTTATTCAATTTTGTGATCTAATTATCTTACGATTCAAGTGGAAATCAAATGAGTATTTATACGTTTTTAGTACCTCATTACATTAAAAGAAAAAATGTCCCATTTTAAGAATTATCCTAGATAAAAAATTTGTAGGTTACGTTAAGATAAAGCTGTTTAAGAAGTTTTAGGCAGACATTAATAATAAGACAAAAAGAGGTCTGTACCACGGATTATAAATTATTCTTCATAAAAACAGAAAAACTTTTTTTCATCAAGTTTCTACATCAACAAGTAAGTCATAAATTTATCAATAATAAGTTATAATGCAAACTTCTGTAAAACATTTATTAAGTATTACAATACCTGTATGTGGTCGAGGAACAAACGGAGATCGGAAGGAAGATGTTTAAGCAGAAGCTTATGGTCGTACTTTTCCTTCATAAGGCCGACTTGTTCCTTGTCTTTCATTTTCCTCCATGGCAACTGGCCGTTAACGAACTCTGCGAGCATGTAAAACAACGACCAAAGGTCATCGTGCCGGCCCATTTCCTAATTAAAAAAAAAGTTTTTATAATTAAATATATGAAGATCTAAAATAGTTTTGATATAATTTATTTATTTCCTAATAGGATATTATTGAGCGACTGCAAAACAAAACCTTAAGTTTCTCAAATATTAGCTCTCAAATCAGTCAATGTTTTGTACATTAGGACCAAAAAGATTTCCAGATCAAAGAAATAAAATCTAAAAAATGTTAACCAATCCTACTTCTATATATGGAAAATGAAGGTTCTTTGAAAAATTGTATAAATAAAAATTTTAATGTATGCCATTTTTCATTATTGTCAATATCCTAAACAACTAAATTATTTAATTGGGTCGAAAGAAGAAGTATCATAAGCACTTTTTAGGGAGTTACATGTAATAGGTTTCAATATATGTATGAAAGGTCAAGGGTTCAATACTTCGTAAAGAAGTACTGTTCCAAGGATAACGGTTGCAGATGTACAGGGAGGTGACTGGACCGAGATCACACTCAACCGCCATGTTTTTTCTCTTAATTAATAATACCCACATTATAGAAGCTGGGTGTGTCCCAGGCGGGTCTCCTGATTCCAAGGCTAATATAACAGAATAAATAATTATCTACCACAACTGGACGAGAATCCAGGATCTTGAGCATTCGAAGTCAGTACCTCACTCACTGAGCTACCCGTTTCCCACATACTAATACCGCTGTTTGGGGCATCAGGCCTTCCCTAATCCCGAAGTAGAGGGAATCAAACCTGGATGCTAATTACTTGATCAGAAGGGGGTGTTCATGTGGAATGTGAAAAGAGAAAATGAGGTTTAACATAAAATATATTGATTAATAAATTGAAATAGACAGAGGTTGATGGGGTTTAAGATGTACATTTGGATTATTGTGTTAGTTGACTATTGGTTAATATGGGCTGACCAGATAAATGAAGATGCTGGCTGGTTGATGATGATGTGAATTCTCCATTGAGAGACTGGCTTCTGTGTCATCTGAGTGGGTACTGTGTTCTGGCATCTTCTAATGCTGTACTGTAGCTGGCACCTTTTAATGTCTTGTGATGTGCTGGCATCCATGCTGCCTCTTCCTTATGCTGGTCTAGCTAGACATTATTCACATTATATGAACATGCTTGGTCATGGAGACCATTTTGCTGGCAGACTCAGACTAGAACTCGCACTGGTGTTGTACTTTGGCCCTGCTGGTCCCAGGTCACCAGGCAGGGCTAAACTTCTTCAGCTTGCCAGTAGATGGCACTGTCATAATGGCCAATAGATGGCACCACTGGTGTGCGCTATTTGACGCACTTAAATTAAGGGCTACAGTGAGTGGCCTTAACAACCTATCCAACAATTTTTTCAAACTTTAAGGACATAATCATTCCTAATTATTCTTCCAAAACATTCAAATACTTAAATAATAATATCACGAGTTTATTACTTATATTTACTATTTAAATTATGCCGAAACAGGATTTTTTTTCTTCCTGATTTCTGAATTGGCAAAATATTAACTGGTCAGTTATTTGTTCGTATTTAAGAGACTGATAACCATTGTTTTCAGAATGTTCCATGGCATAATGGCATAATGCAGTGCGACCACAATGATCTATGGTGCATCATGTTATAAGCTGTTATATATGTTAATACGTTAGTTTAGTCCCTTCCTCGTTTCTTCTTGTAGCTTTGTAGCTTTTGGGATCTACCAGTCAGCCCTCTCCAAACAACTCAGGTCTAAGCCTAGAAAACCAATCAGCCCACAACAATATGAAAGACTGTTCCGTTTTCATCATGACGAAATCTAGACAATAGGTTCTTAGTAAGTCTGAGATTGTACATATGATAGTTTAGCTTAATGCTCAGTGTAGAAAGCTGTAAGCTTTTTAAGGGCTGCTCTATCCAGATTGAGTCATAGCTTACTCCTTTAATCACATGGCCCATCAAGGAACAGCTTCGAGTGCCGCTGTCCCTTATCAGACCAATACTGCTTAAATTCAACACTCAATAACTCCCTGATTCTTCTAATACAAGTACTTAGACTAATTCCACATACAGATTCAACGGTTATGGGAATAGTATCTGAGCCTAACCTGGCTAATCTATCAGCCTCTTTAATAATAATATAACATTTTTTATAATGTTAAATAATTTTTTATGTAACATAAATATTTTTAAAAAACATTTTTAAAAAAAAACTGGAGCAAAACATTGAACATTGAATCAATAAAGTATTACCTTGTTCTTATGAGCGTTGATAGATGCGTAACGCACTGTGCCCCTGAAACCAGCTGCAGTCCTAGGTGGTCTCACTTCCCCCGTTGCCGTAGTGTACTGCCTTGCGAGGCCGAAGTCCAGCATATACACTTTCCTGTTGTTACTCGGCAGTCGTCCGATTGCAAAATTTGACTACAAAGAAATTCACTAAAAAGGTTAGACCTCTTAAAACATTCAAAATAGTCATGATATATAAAATATTAAAGATATCCTATTTAAATATGAGATGAAATTAAAACTTTGTATTTGTAATTGTACATGAGTTATGCACTTCATGAACTGCCATTCTGAATAAAAATCCTATCGTGTTTTTTTAAAAGGAGGTTTATCATTTTCATGTAGTTATTTTATTATTTATGGAGAATTTGTTGATGTTTCAGACTCTTAGATCATTTTTATGCTTGATTTTTCTTGTTTGTATTTGCTATTTTATATAATAAAAATTGTAACATTCATCTCTAAGCTATTTGTTAATCCACAACCATAAAGTTCCTCATATTTGAATGTTTTTTTTTATACTGTTAAATTTCATTTTTTGTGTAGAGGAATTTGTTCATTTCAATGTTACACTGCATCTGATGGAGCATAAAAAATAATTATATAATAGAAGAAAAAAAATATATATATCACTATGTTACTCTTATTAATAAAATAAAAAGTGGATAAATAAATTATAATATTACGTATGTATATAATCAAAATTATATTGGTTCAAAACACTGAGATGTTAGTCCACTAAGAGTGACAAAAATGCACATTTTGAACAACATTTATCTGGTGGCATTGATAAGAATTAAATTAAATTATTAACTAAGAGACAAAGTAATGAATAAAAATCAAGAAGATATATCTATGTATATACATATTTACACCATCTCACATAGAGATTTATTCTTTACATGTATGTGGAAAATGGATAGTTGAGGAAACAGGTGTTTGAATGAGATAAGAGGATAAATGGAGTTGGCAAGGAATTCCAAAATGAGATAGCACAAGTTATAAAGGATAATTAAAAGGAAGCCTTAAAGATACTTAAAGGGGTGAAAAGGTGAAGATATAGGATGTTTTAAAAAACTGGCACCAATGAGGTATTGTCTTCAGAAATTAGAAAATAATAATCCTTGCTCAGAATACTGGCAGGAGGTGTGGGAGTATCTGGGAACATCAAAAATGAATATTGTGAAATAATAATGATAAAAGCTCAGCGAATCTGAAGATGCCAAAACAACCAATCACTGTGTACATACTTCCATCCACTGATAGCAGTCCAAACCCAACCACCCCACCAGATCAGTCTTAACAGAGGAAGGGAGGGGCAGTGTGGCCGAGCGGGCTAACGCATGTGCACACTAAAACCCAACAATTTTAAAATCCCATTTTATTTGTCAGAATGTTATCATCTTAATTATATTAAGTGTGGAAAAAAGCTATGGGTCCAACCCACTCTAGGTTGGCGTAAAGAAGCAGTACCTGGAAGGCCGCTGATTAGGACAGGAGAAGAAAATGGAGGAAGATGAAATCAGAGAAAAATTATCAAGCAGGCTGTGTGCACAGCAGTTTATCACAATGTAAAAAGATAAACATGCAACAGTGATTTGTTATGCAGGAATGTAATCAAGTCACTGCTGCAAACTCATGTATAGTCTTAAAGGCAGGGTAGGGAGGAAAATAAAGTAAAATAATAATCTTAATTATATTAACCATGTACAGTTCACGCTATAGAGTGTTGGGTAATCGTATTTTAAAAGTTTTTTTGCCATGTCCTTTCTTGCCTCTTGGACTATTCGGGGTTTTCCAGAGCCAGGGAGTGAGGATTAAGGATTAATACCAGAGATAAAAGCCTCGTGGGCACTGGGAGGCAAACTCGTAATTATTTTTATCATCTATAACTTCAGTTATGAGATTGCCGGGCAACAACAGGTGCTGTACACACGCATTAGCCCACTCGGCAACCCTATCCCTTAAAAAGATTATTAAAAACCCCGTTTTGAATTGAGGACTATTACATCTGGTGTTTAGTGCTTTAACCACCAGACCAATATTTCTAGATGTTGGGTAACGATCTAAATTCTCTGGTTGACTCATCCTACTTTAATTTCAAATACTTTGAGACATTGTTCATTTCCTAAAGTAAGCAGCCACATTTCACATTCATAAAGAACCATAGAAAGGATAATAGTTTGGTAAATACTAATTTTTAAGTTTCAGGTCAAGTGGTACGAGCTAAGTAGTGTTGCCAAAGAAAAATAAGAACCATTTCCGGCATTCAATATAGCTTTAATTTCTTTTTTAATTTTGTTTTTTCTAGTTATTGTCGACCCTAAGCATCTTACCAGAAGCTTCTCAATATTCTGGTATACCGACACAGTTAATAGTATGGATGGATGTTCATGATTGAAACATTCAATAAAGTTAGTATCTTGTCAAATAATTCAATTTTTTTAAAAATCTCTTCTCGTGGTCATCAGATAGTCCTCAATATACTAGGCATCCATATTCAAAGTGGGAAAGAATGAGAGAGGAGACTAAAAGAAGATGGGTACTTTGGAGAAATAAAATACAGAACCTTAGGATCTATTAGGGCATTGAACACTGAGATGGTTTGGGAATATAACTATAAACTTATTGAATACATACAGGCTTGATGTCCCGATGAAGAAAGCCAACTTCGTGTATCGACTCGATGGCTTTAAGGATCTGTAGTCCGAGCCTCAGGGTGGTCGAGAGCGAAAAAGCTCCCCTAGGTTGCGCTCTCCTCAGTTCTGCAAGGTTCTTACCCTGAAGCTGCATCACAACGTAATTAAACCTATCATTTCTGCCGCAGCCAATAAACCTGCACACGTGTTCCCTACCTAAAAAAAAAATAACAAAACTACTTTATATTTTATATTTATAAATTATATTTCATACAGTGGCGCCTCAGGGCAATAGCGACCTCGAGGGGTCCCACCACTTGTTAGGAATAAAAAAAAAAAATTACAAAGCTTACGAGAATAATTAAATTTAGCAAATTAATAAAGCAAATGAATTAGAGATACATTGAATGAAATACAATTCAAATATTATTTAAGATAAAATAGCTTAAGAAGTAAATTTGATTTTTTGGAGGAGATGACGCCATTGCTCAAGGACGCCAAATGTCTAAGCCGACACTGATTTCATATTAAATATATAGTTTCCAACTATTCTAAAGTATAACCCTGCCAATATGTTGGTGGCATTTCCATTCTTTCTTAATATTCCATCCATTCTTAATATAATGTAGAATTGTTGCTGTTAGAAAATTATGAAACTTCATTTACAAACAAATTTTTTCCAATTAAAAAGTGGTCCAGATGTATAAAAAAATGGTAGACAGTTGGCAGGAGAGTTGGATAAGTGAAATTTGTTTCTGTTTCGGCAAAGAAGTGTAGAACAAACTTCATAATGGGGATTTTGTTTAATGTACGAGGAACCCAAGTTCCAAGCTTTTTCATCTTTCGAACAGTGTTAAGGTGATCAGCATTGGGCAATTTGCTAACTGAGAGTTTCTCTACAACTATTGGTAGCAGAATATCGTCAGAAAGTCGTGAAACGACCATTTTTGTCTTTAAAGCTGAATTCTCCTCTCGAAATTTTTTAAACCGTCGTGTGAACTCACTCAAACTGCCATCTCCCCACACTTCATTAATACTTCTGAACATTTGGGCTCAGTTTCGACAGAATTTAAACTTGTAAAAATAAATTATATGAAAATAATGCCTTGATAACTTAGTAAAGACTGAATTATTACCGACTAATGAAATGCTTCAGAACATAAAAACATTCGTGTTTGGAAGAAGTTTAGTAAGTATTGATACCCATACAAAATAATAATCCATCAAACATAAAAGTTTGTTATATAGAGCGTTAATACAGTAAAACAATGAAATCCTGGGTTATTTTGTGTACAACCCAATAATAGCTCCTTAGAAATGTCTTTATTACAAATGTTCTAGAGTACTCTATCATTTGGTTCCGATCTTGGATAATTAATGTACATAACATTGTTTTTGATTTTACTCAGTTCTTAAAATCCTTACATGATACTTAGTAATAATAAATAACTTTTTTTAACAGTATTCTGTTCTAGTAAAAATCACATTGATTGACAAAGTGTTATTATTAACCATTATCTGTCTTATAATATTATATCTTTGATTGTATTAAACAATTTTTCAGCACTAATGATGATCCATATACTTGAGTTGAAACGTCGGCACCAACAAAAGCCTTAATGACTGTGTCCTGACTATTTATCACCTATGATATGTAGGGCAGTCGGCTAACTTACTTCAATATTTCAATAATGAGTATATTTTAATGGTGGAGAATTTGACGAACAATGCATGAATTGTAGGGAGTATTTGTTGTGGGTGCGATCATAGACAAAATAGTACATAAAGTCAACTTGTTTTGATGAAATAACTTAGGGCAAAACGTCCAAATGCAATAATATAATACTTCTTATTTGCATGTTATTTAATCAATGACAGAATCTCCAACAGACTTTCCCTTAGAGTATAATGTAAATGTATAAAATTCAAACTGATATTACGTACCTTGTAATTTTTTTAAGACGGCTACTTCCATTTTTAAAACTTGTTTCGGTTGCCTCGCCGATTCTACTTTCAATGCAACTTGTTCCTTCGATACTAAATCTAAACCTTCATAAATCTCCCCGAACCCACCTCCACCAATCTTCTTTATCTAAACAAAGAAATAACATTTACATAAATAAACATACAAAATTATATTGAAATATGTAACATAAAAACTATAAGTCGTTTGAGAATTGACATGTAAAAATTGGTTTTTAAACCATTATAACATAAATTCTTACAAGGATAGAATATAGTACAATTTAAAAAACAGAATATGACTATAATTATAATAATCATCAATATGTTTTTTTTTTAATTGCCTAAATATATCTATACTAAAATGAACCCTAAATAGTCAATTGGAATAAAATTCCGAGTGATAATTAACATTATGATTACTTATTTCAGTAGTTATGTCTAAATGCACATTAAATGTATTATGTGTTGCTTTTATATAGGGTTTTGATAATAGACAAACAGTCTGAAATATGACATAAATTACTTAAAAATTAAAATTTAAGGAATATTTAGTCAGGTTTGCATGAAACAGTCGTTTGACATTGTAAGATGAACAGCCTTGAACAGGAACTACAACTTAGGTTGAACTGTGGGCAAAAAATAAATATTAGCCATTATGTTTGATTGTTGACTGGATCAATACTGCAATTAACATCAATGCATTGTAGACTTGCTTTCAACAAATCAGATCTTAGAAAAAGCAAAGTTAAAGCTGCGATAATTCTATCCATTCCTCATAAAAGTCTGAATCGATAATGTGCCTTACAAAGCTCTAGATGATTATTTAAAATTTATCAGGGTAACAAGTAAAGATTGAGTAGCAATTTACACGGTTAGGGAGAAGCAATAAACTATAATTCAGTGAAGATGAAGGGGGAAAAAATATCCATGGAGGAAATTATACAGAAGTATGGAAAATATAGGAGTATTGAATTTAGAAAACCACAATTTATTTATCCAATAAACCTAAATGTGATAAAAACTAAATTAATATATAAAAATATTACTAATACTGACTCATTTAAAGTACATATTTCAATAACATGTTGATTAGATCTTAAAATAGCATGACTAATTGAGATATCCAGTAATCTCAACACTTATGTATCATTATTAGATAAATATATCACAGGAGATGAATGTTTAGTAATATTTACTAAAACATTTTTTAAAAATAAAATTACACATAATTAATTGTGATAGTCACAGCATATATTTTTTGACAGAGTATTATTATTATTTTTTTAAATTAATATAATATTTTCATTGAATTATAATTAAGAAAACAAAAATGAGTGATGAACACACACACACATATATATATATATATATATATATATATATATATATATATATATATATATATTTTTTTTTTTTTTTTTAAAGAGGCATAAGTGCACTGCGGCCATCTAGGCCTATTGTACGCCTCTATTAAAGTCACTCATGTGATGAATATAATTACAAATTAGTCCAAAAAGTTTAGATTGAATTTAGATGAATACCTCCCTCATTTTTTTGTTTTTTAATTCCTAAGCATTTAAATATTTGTATGTAGTAACTTTTAAAACATCTCTAAAAAGAAATATGCAAAATTATGTAATTACTAGCTGACCTGTGTGAATAATTCCCATGGTTTATCATTCAGTGAAAATACGACAATATAACATGGGAATAATTAAATGCAATATATTGTTAGAGAGAGAATTTAATTTTTTTTTAGTCGATTACAGTGGTTTAATATTTAAGATAATAAACTGAAACATAAGTACAAATTCCAATGATTTTTTTTTTTTTTTTGTTTTGTAGGAAATTTAGAAACCTTTCTAATTATCAGGGGTATCGGAAGTCGATTTGAAAAGGATTTTTTGATGCTACTCATATCAGAAGTGCCCATCCTCCCCCCCTCCCCCAAGGTTTATGGGCCATGAACCATTCCCCTATATTTCTAAAAATTGTATTATTCTTCTCTTCTTAAAAACATTGGAAGCGAAAATAGGACTAGACAAATTGTAGATCATATACAATTAAATTCATAGCCCTGTCGAAATTTGTTTCCCTAAAAAATTCAAAACCTCCTCAAAATATGACTTCAAAAATTTTGATGAAATGAAATGAAAAAATGATTTTATTCTGGGACAGTCCTCTAAGAATAATAAAAGTGCTACAAATTTATGAGTATTAGTCTGGCTTAAAATAATAAAAAATATAAGCTAATATACTGCTTATTGTTATTTCAGTTGTGCAATAGTTGACATTACACAGTATACAGATACAAGTAATTTTACATATTAGCAGAAGTTTGAATGTGAAGTAGGGGGTGGAACAGGAGTTGTTTGAAGGAATTTGTGGACGAGGATTGACACATGGAGGTAGGAAGAGAGTCCCAAAAGGAGATAGCACGAATGACGAAGGATTTGCTGAAGGAAGTAGTTTTATGGGAGGGGGTATATAAATCTATAGGTTGAGATCTAGTATTGCAAGAGTGGATAGAAGAGCGTAGAGTAAGGAGTTTCAGGATGTAGGGAGGGTTTTTGGTTCTGAGAACTTGGAAAAGGAAAACACCAAGGAGGTATTGTTGTGGGGAAGTAGGATAAAGTCACTTCAACTCGGTGTACCAGAATAATATATGCGAACGCCTAGGGATCCGGAAGATGTATGTTATGAAACAGTTCATGAGTTTCTTTAGTCTCATTTCTAGCCTGGCAGATAGCCCTCCATACACCAAACAGCCGTAGTCGAAGTGGGGGAATATAAGGGAAATTACAAGGAGCTTTCTGGTTTTTAGAGTAATACGATGGCGCAACTTGTACCATTAATCTCCCTTTTTAAGATTGTGTCCTGACTATTAATCATTCATATGTAGAACAGTCCAAGGGCGGATCTACGGGGGGGGGGGGCTTTCGGGCTTAAGCCTCCCTCAAAATGATAAAATATAGCCATGTTTTATCGAAAAAAATATAATAAAAGTATCTCTTAAAGTATTATTGTTTGTATAATTACATTTAAAGGGGCTTTAGGAATCACTTAAACACCATTTCATACAAGTAGTTAGTTTCTTTCATCTTTTCCAAAGTAATTATCGTTATTTTTATGAAAAAAAACGCTTTCGGGCTGAAGGCCTCCCCTCCCCCCCAAAATTAAATCCTGGATCCGCTAGTGGAACAGTCAGCTAACTTTCCCCAATAATCATTGCTTTATAATTAAAAATTGGGTGGAGATAATCATTATATATATATATATTTGTTGTTTTTTTTCGTCGGCCTAAGATTACCACTGAAGTCCTATACTGCTCCAATCATTATATTCATGTGTGCTATATGAACTGGTTTTTTATTTACAAAATCTTCTTAAAATACAAACAACATTTTTACGATTTAAAGTAGGGCAGTATTAATATATATATTAAAATTATTCCTGAGAAATAGAGCTCCGATTAGCCGCTACGTGCTATCGATAATGGGGACTTTAATCGATTTTCAATTCATTAACCCCCTGGCGCCGTTCCTTACAAGTCATTCATCATGGCAACGACCTGTTAATCGTTCCGAGTTTTTACAAGAGAATAGTCCTTGCTACAGAGCCCTTTTACTTTCACTTACTTATATATGTAATATATGGTAAGGGTAAGTATTGCGATCGTGAAAAATTGTTTTCATATTATGAAGATCCATTAAAACTTCGAGAATAGCTTTATCTTATCATAATATACAAATTTTTTATTTAAGAAAATTCTCGGAATTAGAGTGATTTCGATCTGGAGATTGAAAATTTGTCTATTTAATTAGTTACTAAAAACTCATGAACATCCGTTTGTTTTCTTCCACTTGAATAGTAAGATAATTTGATCACAAAGTTGAGAATAAAGGAAGCCTACAAAAATATTGGGCCGTTTGGCGTGACTAAAATATTAAATAGTGAAAAATATTAGACCATAAACGTTG